ATCAGCCTGAGACCAGAAGAACTGGAGGGTGCCCAGCTACCACCAATGACTGCTCTGACAGGGAACATAACAGAGAGTCCCTGATGGAGCAGGGGAAGGGTAGGGTGCGGAACTCAAATTCTAGTAAAAAGACCAGACTTAATGGTCTGACTGAGACTAGAGGAACCCCAGAAAGCATGGACCCCAGACTCTCTGTCACCCCAGAACTAAAACAATTCCCGAGGTCAACTCTTTAGACAAAGATTGGACTGGACTGTGGGACATACAATGATACTCGTGAAGAGTGTGCTTCTTAGCTCAAGTAGATACGAGAGACTAAACGTGCAGCTTCTGTCCAGAGGTGAGATGGGAAGGTAGAGAGGTTTAGGAGCTGGTTGAATGGACATGGGAAATCAGGGCTGGAAAGGAGGAGTTTGCTGTTACAATATAGGGAGAGCAATTAGGGTCACATAACAATGTATGTATAAATTTTTGTCTAAGAGACTAACTTGAATTGTAAACTTTCACTTCAAGTACAACTAAAAAAAAAAAAATTAGCCAAACACCAGAAATGCTTAAATGTCCAAATACAGGAAAACAAGTAAAGTGTGACATAATCATAAACTGTACTACTACACAGCTAGAAAAATTAATGCACTAGTGTGCATATATCAACATGGATGGTAGTCAATAATGCCAAACATAAAAAGCAAGCTAAAGAAGACAAAAATGACTGTACCATTTATATAAAACTTTAAAGCCTACAATAGCACATACTGCTAAGGGATACATACACTTACAGAAAAATATAACTAAATGCATGGGAATGATAGACAAAAATAACTGTACCATTTATATAAAACTTTAAAGCCTACAATAGCACATACTGCTAAGGGATACATACACTTAACAGAAAAATATAACTAAATGCATGGGAATGATACAAACTAACACTGTATAGTGGTTATCGCAAAGGGAGGAGGGAGAATAAGGGAGGATACACAGGGGTTTCAAAAGTACTGGTAGGTACACCAGCACTCACCTTATTATCTGCATGCTTTTCTACATGTCTTAAGTTATCTCATAATAAATTAGAAAATGTTTTTCTGCCAGATGTCAAGACCCTGTGAATGTTGCCAGATTCAATGTTTATCTTGGTGATTATAACAATATGTTGGTGCTACATCGTTTCTTCCAGTAGAGTTGCTGCTGTCAATTTTTAAAAACATTCTCTCACTCAGCAAATATTTACTAAACACAATGTTCATTCTTTCATTCTAAATACTGAGTTCCCACTACATGCCAGACAGATAAAATAGTAAGAAAAAACTATCCGTTTCTGGCCTCAAGTAGCTTAGTGGAAGAGGCAAGGGCTAATCAAATAAACACGTGATTAACAACACTTTACATCTGATCATCCCCTCCTTAAAAATGCTTCCTTCACTTGGCTCATAGAATACCATACTACCCTGGTTTTCCTCCTAAATCACTGGCTGCTACTTCTCAGTCTCTTTTAATGGTTCCTTATCTCTATACAGGACCCTATCTATATTCACTCCCTTGGTAATCTCACACTTTAAATACCATCTCTACACTGACATCTCCCAAACTTGTATTTCCAGCCTGGGCTATATATATACTGCCTAACTCAACATTCTCTTTGGATGTCTAACAGATGTGTAAAGCTTAGTATGTCGAAAACTCAACTCCTGATCTTCCCTAAAAATCCGTTCCTCTAGCCTTTGTTCACCAGGCTGCATTGATGACTGCATATTCTATATGAATGGTAGCTACACAGGTTGTACAATACAACAATCATGATCTTCTATCTAGAGAACATCAACTACATACTTCTGGTGTCAGGCCAAAAATCTTGAAGTCATCCTTGACTCCTCTTACACACACAGTGCCTGACAATTTCTCATCATCTCTGACACTGCAACCCTGATCTAAGCCAGATTCGTCTGTCACCTGGTCTCCTTGATTCTCCCCTACCTGCTCACTCTCCCACGCACCTTAGACAGCAGCCAGAAAGAGCTAGTTAAAATCTAAGTGAGAAAATGCCGCTCTTCTACCTGAAGACCTCCTGTGACTTTCCACCTTTTTCAGCATAATAGTGTTCAAGGCCCACACCATCTTCCCCTCACCCTACCTCTTACCTTCTATTAAATTCCCTCCCTTGCTCACTCCACTGTAGCTCTCTGGTCTTTGCCCTTGGTGTTTCCTCTTCCTGGAACACTCTTCCCCCTAAAACTCATATGGCTTGCTTTCTCACCTCCTTCAGGTCTTTCTTTGCTCAGATGTCACCTTCTCGATGAAGCCTTCCCTGACCATCCTACCTAAAACTGCAACTACCACTATCCTCATTCCCTGTCCTCTCTCTCTGCTTTATTTTTTCCATGATACCTACTGCCTAGTTCACTTGACTCAAATGTAAGATCTACAAGGTCAGGAATTTTATTCTGTTCATTACAGTATCTCCAGCAACTAAAACAGTGTCTGATATACAGTAGCCACTCAGTAAATACTTGCTGAATCACAACACACATGTAAAATTGCAACTTTCAAGTCCAGTGGAAAGTACAGAGTGCTAGGAGAGCCTGTAAGACAAGAAAAGCTTACCTGAGGAAATTGAACTTGATGTGAGAACTGAAGGATGAGTAGGAGTTAACAAGGATGTGCACAGGATCGGTGGTGAGAGGGACTAAAGGAAGGCCAGTGTAGCAAGACCACAAAGAGGTGGAAAAGGTATAAAATGAGGATGGAGAGCGTAGAAAGAGGCAAAACAATGAAAAGATTTGTAGACTATATTAGGATGTTTTGCCTTTATCTTCAGAGCAACAGGAAGCCACTGAAGTGTTTTAAGCAGGGGGATATGATATGATCAGATCTGCATGTTGAAAAGATTACCATGGCAATTGGGTAGAGAAGAGTGAGAGGGGTGAAAAGAGTGGATGTGGGTACATGAGGTAAGAGGCTATTGCTACTTCAATTGAGAGAAGATGGTATCTTGAATTAGGGTGTTGGAGCGGAGATAAAAGGAACACACAAGATACTTAGGAAGCTAAAAACCAGTGGGATTGGGGGTGAATCAGATATAGGGAGTCAACTGAAGGGAATTTTAACGTTTACTTCTAAATTTCACAAAGTACTGTTGGATGACCCAGAGGAATAAAAAATTAGACCCAGTCTATGTCCTCAAGTAGTAATTATCTAAATCTTCGATGTCCAAGCCACTAGCCACAAATGGCTACTGAGCACTTCAAGTGTAGCTACTCCAAATAAAGACGTGCTTAAGTGTAAACCACACATCAAATTTCGAAGTCTTAGTACAGAAAAAAAGAACACAAAATATCTCAATAATTTTTATACCGATTACAAGTTAAAATGGTAATATTTCAGATACAGCAGGTTAAATAAGATATATTATTAAAAATTAATTTCACCTACTTCATTATATTCTTTAATGTGACTACTATAAAATTTAAAGTTATGTAAGTGGCAACATTATATTTCTATTGGACAGTGCTGATTCAATAGGAAATGACAATACAGTTGTTGCAATTTATTCAAAAGGAAAAAAATACATTTAAGGAAAACATCGCTGAATTTTGGGGTGAAAATGTAATTTTTATAAACAATGTGGCTTGTTATGTTTTGTTCAGGGAAGTAAAGAAATGAATTATTTCAGTTTTTTGCCATTTAAACACAAAAGCCACTTTCTCTTTGTGTCCTATTCCTGAAATAGATTGTTCTTCTTCTATTGCTAGTACAATGCTTCTACTCAGAGAGCCTTCCGGGTTATAGGGAAAAAGTCAGGAAAACACTGAATGTGGAAATGACAGGAACTGAGAGATCATTTAGGCCTTCATTTCATAGGTGACAAACCTGAAATACTAAGACATTAAGTAACTTACTCAAAAATCACAGTATTAACACTAGCTGTACTACATACGACATCAGTGTTTTCTTTAACTAGTTATAATCATTATAAACAGTGTTCAGGGATAATGTAGACTTGTATATACCACAACAAGGACACTGCATTTTGTTCCCAAAAGAACTAAAAATGTATCTACCTTATACTGGTTAAGAGCTTGGATGCTAACCAAAAGGTCAGCAGTTGGAATCCACCAGTCACTCCTTGGAAACCTTATGGGGCAGTCTACTCTATCCTACAGGGTCACTATGAGTTGGAATCGACTTGACGGCAATGGGTTTGGTTTGTTTGGTTTATGGTACTGAATCTCAGAATGATCAATGAGTTTGTTCAGGGGTGAAAAATCACGTTTGTATTCTTACTTCATCAAGTGGGAAAAGCTTCAGTTTTACAGTGCAAAACCCAGTTCCAACACTTCGCTGTGTATCAAGGGCAACTGTCACTCTGTTTCCTCATCAGTAAAATGATACTACCATACCCAAGCTGTGAAAATGATAGGAGTACTACACAGATACACACACAGCACAATAAATGGCTTATATTGGGTAGATGCATAATAGATGTTAGTTCTCTTATTTTTATTAAAAACAAATGCCCTCCTTGATCATCCCTCATCTCGCCAAACTGTCAACACATAGTAATATTGTAAAGTCATAAATTAAACATGTAGGGGAAAAGATTTTTATAGTGAGATGTGAAACCTAGTTTCTAATTTCCATCCTACCATTAAAAAGCTTCAAATCCACAGGGAAATCATTCAACCCTTCTAAGTCTATTCCTCTCTTTAGTAAAGTGATAAAGTTGAATCAACCAAGACGATTCAAATAGTCCCATCTACGACTCGACACATATGAAGTCACCATGAGCCAGAATCAACTCAATAACAGATTTTGACTCAATGTATTAACTATAAACGCCACACTAATTTCTGAGGTCTGTTATAGGCAAGTTACATCGAAACTTTAAACATTTTAAAATTAATATGAAGTATAATTTGACATTTCTAAAACTTCTTCATCATTTGGGATACTATAACTGATCATCTTCTGGATTTAAAAGGAAAGTTCTTAAAACTACTCACATCTGGTTGGATGGCTTTAAATACTGGAACATCCATTAGTGTTATCTGACCCTGAAATATAAAGTAAAAAATGACACTATCTTCTTTGGAATTCCATAATATAACATATATTCTAAATTAAAATTATATTCTTTACCAAAATATTACTCAATACACAAATCTTCACTTGAATGAACTGTCAACTTTATAATATTTTAAGAGGCTTATCAGAAATTGAAAATTATATTTAATGGTACTACAAGGGCTAAATTATTTCTAATTATCTCAAGCCCCTTTGTACTTTCTTGGGCAACAAATGACATAAAGTTAGAAAATAAAACAAAAATAATTTTAAAAATTCAGACATGGTCACACATTAAAATCAAAAACAAAAATCACAGAATAGTGTTTCTTGTTATGACTATTAAATATCTCCTCAAACTTATAAAATCTGATATTAATAAAAAGGTTTCTTCCTGATTTATAAAAAGTAATCAGACTACAGCAGAGACAACACACTATATCTAAGGACTTTTACACGGCTATGGACCTATCTCATTTATGGTTATAGATGTAAAACAAAATCCAGCAATATATCAAAAGAATACTATGTTATACCAAGCACAGTTTTATTTCTAAAATGGAAAGAGTAATTCAGTATCAGAAAATCAATATATTGTTAACAAATTAAGGGAGAAAGAGAACATAAATAATGTTAACGTCAGTTTTTCTAGGTACCTTTTATGATATTGCAGTAACACCTTCATATTTCATTTTTCAATTTTTTAATTTACAAAAAAAGTAAAAGTACCTCTTAGAAATATCAAAGTAGAGTTGGCTTGGGGAGGTAGTACAGGTAGGGAGGAAAGTAATTACCATAAAGATAAATACTTACTTATTACTTGCCAAGTTGAAAGTATAATTTATGAAGCCGTCCTAAAAATATCTACACTCTTCTCACCTCCCACCTCATCCCTACCCCTCTGTGCTTGCTCCATCGTTGTGCTACCCTTCCCCATCGGTTTCCACATTCAGCTTTTTTTAATTTTATTTTTTACAAACTCCTCCACTGGGCCTACAAATTCTAAGTCAACAGTACCAATTATGTAAATTATGGGCAAAAACTGGAGAAGGGAGGGGTGGGAAGCTTACCGCATACTCTTCTGGTGTAACCTTAAGGACATCAAATACCACAGCATCAAAGCTTTTCTTCAATTCAGAACCTTTGTCACTTAATGATTCAGAGCTGCTACTTTTCTGTTAAATTGAAAGAAAACATAGCCATTTTAATATCGTCTCATAATTGATGTGACAGAAATCTGATTGGCACTAAAATCTGAGGAAACTAAGAATAGTGAGTTAAAATTTTAAACAAACAGTACAGAAGAGTTAAGCAGAGCATGCTGCCCAGTTGGAAGAATACTAGATAAAGGGTCAGTCAACTTGAGGTCTAACCTTGGCTTTAGATTTTTAGGTTACTGAGTAAGTCATATTTGCATGCCAGTTTCCTCATCCTGACAGCCTATCATTTTCTATAGAAATAAAAGATTTAAACAAGTTCAGTGATTCTCAAATGGGGTAAAGGGAAGCCAGAGGAAAAGGATATACATTTATTTATAATTTTTAAAAAGATAAAATTATTTTGATAACATAAACCAAAAGAAAATATTTAGAGCAACTCCATTAATTAAAGAGCTGTACAATCCATTCTCATTTGTTAGGTGATGTCTGTTGGTGAAAGTACTATTGATACTGTTCTTTCTATTGTATTGTATTATAAACCTGAGGGTTTGCTGCATTAAGACTACTGTTCTACGTTTGAATTTTCTGTTGCTACATGTAGAACAAAAAAGGTGGCTTTTGGCCCTGAAAATCTTATTTATGCTAAATTGTCAACTTCATCTCTACCATGAAATAAAAATGTATTCTGTATTGGTTGGCCGAATTCAGAGGATCATCACTGTAAGAACATTTAGACCAGAATCTATAAAGGGTGGTAGGATATGAGGCCACAGTTATAGGTACAAAAAAGTAACCAACATTTCATTACCAAGGTATAGGTCAATTAGCTGTTACACATCAATTCTAACCACTTGTCAGTATGCCTCATTTTTACTTTTTCTCTGCTTTTAAGTAGGAGCAAAATATCAAGTATATGATTCATAATCATTACAAAGGAAGGGATCCATTTCACTAAATATCCTTAACCATTCATGTCACTGACCCTTTCAATTTGAACATTTTTTTCAAAATTAGGTATATAAACAACAGAAAAAGCTATGACTTTTAAACTGTCATTTTCTGCCATCAAAATATGGGATTGTTGTTGTTGTTGCTGCCAGGTGCCGTCGAGTCCATTTTTGACTCATAGTGACCCAACGTGACAAAGTAGAACAACCCCAGAGGTTTTCTAGGCTGTAATCTTTATGGGAGCAGATTGCCATCCCATGGAGCTGCTGGATGGGTTTGATTCCCCCAACCTTTCAGTTAGCAGCCAAGTGCTTAACCATTATGCCATCAGGGCTCCTTAGATTTTGGACAGTACTAGAATATTATGAAAAATCTGCCTTGGTGGGGGAAGTTTCATACGAAATGGCCCTTTTAATCATGAGAAATAAACTAAAATGTATTCTGGCTACTGTAAAAAACATAGTTTAAAGAGGAAGCACAAGAAATTCATTTATTTTTCTTTTACTATATTAAAGAATAATGTTTACGACCCTCTTAACACTTTGGTCTCAAAGTTCCTTAATATCTTCAACTCCACTTTAGCTTAATTTCACCCCAGCCATGTACTTAGACTTTGCTATCACTGAAAATAATCTAAGTGTATGGTTTCAATTATTTTTCTTATGCAAATGATTTCTGTATTCTTGTCCCTAGCCCTGGCTTCCCTCATAAATGTTATTAAGCATTTCTGATGGACCAGACATTTTACTTATATGTGAACAAAATCAAATTCCCTATTATTGTTCTGTTCCACAACCTGTAAAGAAAACAGTTCAACTCCTTTCTCTGACCTATTAAAAAGGTCATCAAACACTATTCTCATCCAATATGGAGTGAGAAAAATAAAAGGGAAATATAGGAGCCAGATGCTAAAGTTACTAAGGCAGGCAGGCAAATATCCTAGATCTATAGACAAAACAAAAAAGAAAAAAGGTGGTGTAATAAACTCACAATACATTAACTAGAGAGGTGAACACCTATTCAGACTTCATCTCCATCTAAACACCCTAAGTTACATCACCAGAGTAGACCTTCTAACATCCCAGTCTAACAGTTCTTTGATCTCTTCTATCCCAATTATAGTGGTTAAGCGTTTGGCTGCTAACCAAAAGGTGGGAAGTTTGAATGCACCAGCTGCTCCTTGGAAACCCTATGGAGCAGTTCTACTCTGTCCTACAGGGTCGCTGAGCTGGAATCGACTCTGCAGCAATAGTTTTTTTTTTTTTTTTTTAATTCCAATTATCACCTGCCCAACATTTCAACAATCTGATCACAAAGCCACATTCTAGACCTTGTCATCAACACTATGATCACAACCTCTCTCTGCCTTAAGTCCACTGTAAATACTCAAGAGAGTCATTTCTTCACTTCTCTCTTTTTCTATCTCCCCCTCAAGAACATCATCAGTACAGCAGAGCAAAAGATACAAGTGTAATGATCCTGGAATGGTCAGAACTATGATGAAAGAACAGAAGAAAACAGCAGGGACAAAGTGTTACTGAGATCAGCTTAGCAATACAGCTTTCAACCGATTATGAGTGAAGAGTACTGACTGCAAACCTGGCTGCCTAGATGTGCAAGTTCAGTTCATAAAAACCACACTGGATGGTTTTTGGAATATTAGAAAAAGGCAAAGATGGTAGATACTGAAGTAGCTACACAGATAAGTCAGTATTTATAAAAATTGTATGAAAATCAAACTTTATGTTGAAAAAGTATGTGTAATATAACGCTATAATTCCATAGCTGTTGTAATTATTTCTCCAGCAAAAGTGTTGATTTGAATACCTTTAACCTCAGATATTTACAAATAGTCGTGTGCTAAGTCTAGAAGCCATCTGTTAAGAATATCAAATCCCACTTCTCTCACACCAAAATGTGTAGAAATCAAAATCAATTTATTCTACTACTCACATCAACTCAATGAAATCAATTCAGTTCCAACTCAACTGCACATACAATATTTCCTCCTCTGACCCTAACCACCCAGAGCTAGGTCAGATCTTATCAATTAAAGGGCACAATCCTCCAAATGGCCCAGTCTACTCAAGACCTCAGATGCCAACCACAAGCTTGGGAGTTCCCATGATAACCTCACTTCTGGCCTGCTGGCTCCCACTACTCCCTCAGGTTTGATAGATAATTCACTGGAATGACTCACAGAACTCAGGAGAGTGCTATACTTACAATTATAGTTTTATTACAAAAAAAAAAAAAAAAAAAAGGATAAAACTCAGGACCAGTATGAAGAAAAGGAGCATAGGGTGAGGTCTGGGAGAATTCCCAATATGGAGACTCTGTGTCCCAAAAAGGGAGTGTTACCCTCCAAGTACAGATGTCTTTTGTCAACCACTACCATGTCCAGAGCCTTAACTGATTGAATGAATCTGCCCCTGTCTCCTTCCCTACCCCCTCCAGAGGTATTGTGGCCTGGCCAGCCCCCACCTGAGTCACCTCACTGGCATAAATCCTCAGGTGTGGTCTTCAGGTCTCATCAAAGACACTTCAGTCACTGCGGAAATTCCAAGCTTTTAGAGGTTATCTCTCAGGAACCAAGGACAAAGGCCAAATTCTTTAGGTAAAGTAAAATTCTTTCCTCCCACACCATCATTCCTTTTTCAGTTTTTTTTTCCCCCAAGACCACTAAAAAACTGTTCACCTAAAACAGATGAATACTGATGGACCAAACCAGATGTGAAGGGAGAACAAGGCTATATAAAATATAAACAGACGTGCCTCTCTCCTGTTAGCACTGCATATAGAGGAAAAAGGGTCTCAAGAGCTGCAAAATAAAAATAGGCTACCAACCTATCAGCTTAAGAGGCAGGGAAAAGATAGATCATCAACACCAAAAACCAAACCCACTGCGGTCCAGTTGATTTCGACTCACAGAGGCTCTACAGGACAGAGTAGAATTTCGCCATAGGATTTCCCAGGCTGTAAATCTTTACAGAAGCAGACTGCCACATCTTTCTCCCAGGGAGTGGCTGCAACCACAGACCTTTCAGTCAGCAGCCAAGTGCTTTAAACACTGCGCCACTAGGTCTCTTTATATCATCAACAAGATGACAACAAATCAAGTGATCTTATAGATCACTGACCTTTAAAATTAGGAATTTTCAAATGTATTAATTTAAATGAATGATTATCTCTAATAAAAAAAAAAGTCATATTGTAATTAGATTAAAATTTTGATCCCTTGGTGATATACTACATTTATGAGCAAATGAATTCTAGATAAAAGTCATAATATTTCTGATCTACAACTAGAAAATTAAGTCACGTCTGAAACTCTCTAATATGATCCACACAAAAACAAAATCATCTGTGTATCAGACTTAAAAACAACAGCTTCGAGTCAAGGGCTCTTCCAAAATCAAAAATTCAGTGATTTTGAAAAAAAAAAAAATCCTTCTCTGCCTCACTTGTACCACTGCCCTCAAGGTTCATATAAGGTAAAAATATTCTAAAAAGAAATTCTAGTGATTCTTTAAAACTAAACACAAGAAAAGGGTTTTAATCAGTAATTACTTTTTTTCAAATATCTTCTCAGGTTAACAGGTGCACAATGACATAATGGCTTTTAAATGTAGTCCTTTATCCAAAATTCATTCACCATCCTCCTGCACAGTAGACTGTATTCTAAATCAATCCACTGAAAATGTTCAATTCCAGACTTCCCATTGAAGCCGACTAAATTATACAAAAAGAGATAACTAATGATCCATTAAATTATTTTGTTTGCCAAGGATAAGGATTAAGGTTTCTAAGATGAACAGTAAACATATGAATGACAAAAGTTAAAAAAAAAAACAAAAAAACTAAAATATTTGTAGCCCTTTATTTCATGTTCTGATTTAAGTCTGTAATCAACCATAATCCTTGAAAAATCTGACAGCCAGTTAAGAGAGTTTATAATTAAATGCCTGGAAAGTCTTACCTCAGAAGCAGTAGCTGCAATATTCACATTGCTTGCCTGTCCATTCATTAGGTCCATGCTTCCCCCAACATCAGTTTTTGACCTTATGTTAACAGCAACAAGGGACCAATTACTTCATGTCCAAGGCCACAAATACATTATTACTGTAAAAAGCAAAGAGAAAAATTAAAATGTACGTCTTACTGGAAGTTTAAGAAAATAAATCCATGCCTACCACCATGCCAAGGTGTAAAATACTTCAACTTTGCCAAGCTCTATTTTTTATTTTACTTATACCACTAAATTCAGATTGAAGACGATCCTGTACATATTTTCAAATGGGCAGTATTCAACATGTTATTGTTATTTTCTTCATTAGCAAAGCAAAAGCATAACTTTTCACTTATTAAAGGAACATTGTACATTTTTTAGTTTTATGAAAAAGAAAAAGTAAAGTATAAAAGACATATGGCAAAGTAACACACACCATACATGGTAATTTTTTTTAGAAATCTCATTTACCAAGATAACACAAATACTTAAAAACAAAACTAAAATACTATAGAACATGTTATAAAATCATGAACACATATGGTATGTTTATTTCTTCTGGGTTTTAAAGTTTTTTGAGTATTCTAAATCCATCATCTCATTGATCTTCATAACTACCAATATCAATAACTGGGGAAGATATTATTATACCGACATAACACAAACAGAGCCTCTGAGGACACAGGCTGGTAAGTGGGAAGCTAAGAATAAAATTCAGGCCATCTAAAATTCTTGTCATATATTCTTTCAACAATACAATGCTTCTTTCCACTTTACTAGAAGTCAGAATATTTACTTGATGTTCTCTTTCTACCAATAACCTGTTTTATAACACTGTGTAGGTAATGTCACCTCTTTAACACGGAATTTCTTCCTCTTTGTAAACAACATGGTGATTTTTAAGGTCCCCTTCCAACTTTAAAATTTCTATGATGTGTTTCCTAAGAGAAATAACAGGTGTCTACAAATTAGGTGTTTTAAACAAACTACTATGCCCACTTTAAAAGCTGGGATTGAAACATTAATAATTTGCTTGATACAAAGTTTCTTCTCTCCAGAGAAGCAGTATCCCGTTGCTGCTGTGTTGATTCTGACTCACAGCGACCCTAGAGAACTGTGATTTTAAAGCACAGACTCCGGGACAACACTGCCAAGGTTTGAACCTAGCAGCAAACTGCTTAACTTTTCTGTCCTTAGTTTCCTCATCTATAAAACAGGGATAACAAGTACCTACTTCATAGAGTTTTGGTGAGGAGAACTGAAATTAACATATACAAAGCACCTAAAACAGGCACATAGTAAAGTGTGCTATTATTATGATGGTGGTGATAGTATAGATTTTGTCTACAATCAGACAGTCCACATAAAGCTTACATTCAATAAAGTTTCTTAACTAAATACAAAAGATGAAAACCTTAGAAATACACTTCTGGCCAGCACATGCTGGTGGGCTCCTCCAAAACAATTAAAATCCTAAGTGTAAACACAATGGATGAGAATGCCACAATTTTTTTGCTAGATGAAGCATAACATGTTCCTGGTTTTCAAATGCTTAAAATTTATTGCTAATGATAGCAGACTTCAGTTACATCTTAAATTTATCTTCATTTCTTCAGATACATCCTAAGCACATAGTAAGAGCAAAGCTTAGTGCCAGAATTTCTTAAAAATATATATTAGAAATAATATGTTCTTAAAACAATTTAGAATCCATTTAGAAAGTCAATGTGAAAATAAATGAAACACAGAAATACTTTAATTTCCACCAATTTACAGTTTTTCATTCTATAAGCTTTAATAGCCTTATGCCCCTAACAAGGATCAACTTGTCTTTATACTGTTATATAAAACCAATGTGATAATCCAGATTTTCTCTGAGGACAACACTCAGTTTGCAATGAAATGTTTCAAATAATTTCATCTCACTCTATGTGCTGTGCACAGATTCATTCTGACGTGAATCCATAAATCAAGACTGCCCTCTAGTGCTAAGAAAAAGATTTTAATTTTCTTAAAGGAATCGTATCCTTAACCTACCTCACATACTAAATAAATAAATAAATATTTACTGAAAAAAGAGATAATACAAACCAGATATAAACATTAACACATTTGTAATCTATAGCAGTAAGAAATCAAGTTTTCTTTGCCTGCTTTGAATTAAATTGTCAGATATTCCACGAAAATTAGCAAGTTGCATTAAAATCCATTACACGTGTAAAAAAAAAAAAGGCGAAGATACCTTAATGAAAATCTTACGGCGATTAGAAATGTACTACATGTCACTAATATGTAATAACACTGAAGTACAACAAAGTTTCATATGATACAACAGAAACACTGCCAAGTCCTAAAATACAGACATGCGTTGAGTCTTTCAGCATGTGTCTCAGGACATACACCTGCGCTTTGCACATAGAAAAGTAAAATTAAACAATATGAATACATGGTTTAATATCTTCTTGATTTTCCTAGAGCTATAAATTACATAACCACTTATAATAACTGAACATCACGCAGCTCTTTTCTTAAATTATTTTCCACTTATTCTCTTCTCACTTTCTAAAGACGGTCACTCTATCTTTGGGGTTGATACCCCAAAATAGGGCATATTTTAACATAAACATCAGTATTAAGGAAGCAGAGAGTTACAACTTTATCAAGGAGGCAGCTAAGTAAAAAAGAACCAAACTGTAAGCTAGCTTAGGGTCCGTCATTCAAAGACTGAAAGGAAGAAAAGACGGAAGGGAAGAAGGGAGATGGATAATCACATACATTTAAAACAGGGCACAAGAATGTCTATTATCAATTCAACAAGTATTTACTGAGTGCCAAGTATGAGGCTAGCTAAATAAGAACAGGGGCGTTCCTGCCCTTGACTTAAAACAACTGAAAAGAGGGGAGTAATGCATCACTCACTCATTAAATCCATTGCCATAGAGTCAATTCTGACTCACAGCATAGAGGAGAACTGCCCCATAGGGTTTCCAAGGCTGTAAATCTTTATGGAAGCAGACTGCCACATTTTTCTTCTGTGGAGCAGATAGTGAGTTCGAACTGCTGACCTTTTGGTTAGCAGCTAAGGGCGTTTTAACCACTTTGCGACCAGGGCTCCTTCAACCATTAGAACGAGGAAATCCGAACTGTGTAGATTTAGTTCCTTGCTTAAGGTCACAGAACTAGATTATAGAAATGTAGGCACAATCATTCAGTCTCCTAACTTTCCACATTTGCAATGGTTTTCCCACAACGAAACCAATGCCTTTTTATAAATGAATAAGGGATTAAAATTAAAGCCACAAATTCCTCACTAATTAATCTCATTTCATAGTACCAGTTATGTGTTCTTTCCTAAAATAATTTATTCTACCACCATGAGGAATATTGTGCTAAAGACAATTTAATAGTTATACAAAGCATACTTTAGAAAATTTAGGCAACCACAAGAAACAGTAGAGGAATACAATTAACTGGTGCAATTTCTTTGGAAAACATCTGGCTAACACAGAATTGAGATGCTCATAGACTCTAAGCCAAAATCTCTGTCCTGGAAATTCATCTTATCAAAGCTCTAAAAAAAAAAAAAGTATACAAAGTTATTTAATCAACATTATTTACAATAGTAAAAACTGAAAACAACTTTAATGCCTTTATATTCAATCACATTAAAAAATTCACACAAGCAATTATAAGAAATATGAAAACAGCAGTGACAGGTACAGTAACAGACACTGAATCTTACTGTAATATTCTTGTAAGTTTTATGAAAAAAGTAATTGAGTAAAATTAAAATACCTAATTGCAACTCAATATTTAAAAGGTATTTCAGAGTCTGCTTTCTTTTAAAATTTGTTTTTAAATAAAAGTTAAAGATGCATTTTATACAACATCCATGGAAGGCCCGAAGATTTAAAGTCCCAAAGATTTAAGCCCACTTTCAGCATGTGTGACAGATAAAATTGCACTGTCTTAATTTTTTTAATCTAAGAAAACTACAGAGATTAGTCCCAAATTCTTCAGTAATTTGTTTCAGTAATTACAGCCATCAAAATGCTGAGAAGTTTTTGTTTTTGAGTTATTCTAACAAAAGTTTAATAAAAAATATAGTTGCCTCTTAAGATCATTTCTGAATAGCATTAAGAGCAAGATTATCTTTGCTACTTGGCACCCTTAAAAAGTTCACGTTATGAAGACAGAGAAATTAAAGCCCTAATGACAAACTCAAAATAAAAAATGACCAACTATATAAGCAAACAACCCACTCTGAGTAAAAGACAGGAAACACAATAATTACTAGGATTAGACCTCTCAAGAACTTCAGATAACTAATGATCAAATACAGGCTATAAAACAGGGAGGATCAAAATCAGTAGCCCTAAAAGAAGAAAATGAAAACATAACAAAACATTATGAAAAAGCAAAGCAAGATACACATTCCTAAAAAACCAAACTTAAAAAAAAAAAGAAAGAAACACACAGTTACTGGAAAATTAGGCATCTTATTAATCACAATTAAAGAGAATATTTGCAGAGAAGAATATAGAGATGAAGAAATTATGCAAAAATCCTACACAACAGTTAATGAAATGGAAAATGTGAAGAGAGATTAAGAGAAATGAAGGCTCTAAATTAAGATCTAACATAGTTTAATGGGACTTCCAGGGGGAAAGAAGAGAGATAATGGAAGAAAGGCAATACTTAAAGACATAAAGGCTGAGGAGTTTCCAGAACTCATGAAAGACATAAATCTTCATATTCAGGAATCTTGAGCTTTGTGCAGGATAAATAAATAAAAAGAATCATATTGTACATACATCACTTTAAACTACAGAACACTTTAAAAAGCAAGGGAGATAAAACAGATTACTTAATTTACGTTGGAACAAAATTAAACTGAAAGCTTCTCAACAACACCAACAGATAAAAATGAAGTATCTTTGAAGTGCTAAGAGAAAATAACTGTCACCCTAGAATTCCATACCCAGCTAAATTCTCATTCAACAGGAGGCAAAATAAAGACATTTTCAGACAACGAATTTACTAGAAAATTACTCCAAATGGCAAGCAATTAAGAATATTATACATAAAAAAAACTAACTTATCCCTACGTAGT